GGTCCTCCAGGTACTATTATGTTATCATATGATGATATGATAATTAGAGGATATCAAGTCTCAAACTTAAATTTCCATAAACCTATAGTTTCAATGATAAAAATTCATGAATAACCTACACGTATTGTAAGATAATAAAAATATTTTAAACGATATAAACTTCATGCATTAATTTGCATAAATAAAAAATAAATAAATAATTATAATTGCATAAGTTGATAAAAAATGCTTTACCGCGGCAGTCCCCGAGTGCCACAGTTAGTTTTTTTGTAGGTAGTTTTGATTTTGTTCTTTCCTTTCTATTTGTTGGCTTAGTACAATTATATTTATGGTCAGGGCCGGATTTAGGGGAGGGCAACTAACCACTAGTAAACAAATTTTCCTTTCATGTAGTTTTCGCGGCTTACCTTTAACTAAAAATATTATATAGGTATTATCTTAAATTTAATTTAAATTATTCTTATTTCTGATATAAATGTAGGTATATAAGAATATATTTAAAACTAATATGTATCGAAAATAACCAATTCTTTCCGAGCAAGCTCAATTTCGTGTCGTTTTTTTTTTATTTGTCGAATGTTTCTTCGTTTGAACGGGAAGTAAAACAAACTAAAAAACAATTACTGAAAGTATTACGTTTTCCAATCCGTTGTCGGGACGAAGTCGCGTTTAAAAGTTAGTTCATATATAACAGCGTTATGGGAACCTTATCTTTACATACAGCCATCATTATATATGTATGTCGCCGTAGTAGTCATGTACTTTCGCAAGTAAGAAATACCTCTTTGGCGTAACAAAATAAAAATTATATATAATAGTTTCTTTCTCTCTACTTTTTGAATATTTCGAGCTTTCGACACATTATTGACGCTTGACACAGTATTAAAGCGAGATTTATGATTTACTACGACTCTCTATTCAAAACACGATGAAATTCGTAAAATATTTAAAAATGCGTATTACTCGCGTAAATACAAGAAAGCATCTTAATAATGTTTTTTTTATTATTTTTAAAAATAAAATAATCTAATTTTAAAAAAAGCAACTGCGCAGCGACTAGTTTTCGTAATTTTTAGGTTAAGTCATGCTTTTAGGTTAGGTATTTTGGCGCGTTTGTGAGAAATGATGAAGGTGAAGTTTTACGACGCGTTGTTACTATGGCACCCGAAAACAACTTTTAGCAATATAACTATAGTTCCAAGTTATTTTAAAAGCCGTTATAAATTGCGTTTAATGTTATTATTTCCGTGACACTGAGCCGTGATAGCTCAGTGTCCGGGCACTCGCCTTTAATTCAATATACTCGAGCAACCTGAGTTAGATCTCCGGTGCCGGCACCAATGAAATTTTTAACTTTAAGTGCTGACTTATCATGTGCTCCGCGGTGAAGGAAAACATCGTGAGGAAATATATATTGCATATTTTCGAAATAATAACAAAAAAAAAATCGAAGATATGTGAAGTCCGCCAATCCGCAGTGGAGCCGCGTGGTGGACTATGTCCTGATACTCTCTGTATAGAGGAGGCCTTTGCCCAGCAGTGGATCATGTATAGGCAGTTACTTTACTTATTATTTCTCAAACAATTAGTACTGCCACACGAGATAAAAAAATTCCGTTGTTTTTCTTTTGTTACACTACGGAAGTATAACTTCCTGTGTGCGTACATAGTAAAAGTGTAAATAAACACACTATTTTTTTAAAAATAATTTAACACGTGTCTTACGCACGAGGTAATCGCTTTCACTTTTTAAAGCCTTCAGAGGCTCAAATATTTTTTATAAACTTAAGAAGTATAACTTCTTAAGTTTATAAAAAAGTAGGTACCTACTCACATTTTTTAAAAGAAAGCGTTAACTATATTTCACTCTTTTTTTTTTAATTATTAATTTCTTTTGGCGTTATGAGAGTAAAATTGTCACGGTACGCGTGTACTCCGACCCTCAAAAAGTTACATGATGCTTGGTAACCAATTTAAGCTTGGCACACATAACAACTTTTTGACATTTACCAAAAACTACAAGTAATTTAAAGAAACCGTTATCAATTAATTGCATTCAAAATCTTTACGCTTAAGAACTCCTTTCGGACGTACATAAGAACACACAACATTTTTTTATGTGAGAAGGTGGCAAGAGAGCAGGCGTTTCACCTGATGTTAAGTGAAACTGTCACTCATTGACATTGACACGGTAAGGTTACAGATGCATTGCCACCTTTACATAAAGTGGGCGCCTTCTACCTCACTCAGCAGACAAAACGCGGGATTATAACACTAACACTCCACGCCGGTCTTTGCGAGGTCGTGGTCGTGGCCTGGACCTGCCCATTCGTGGGACAGTGAAATTTTTGTGTGTCCTTACCACAAGAAGATATGTCCTTAATATGTTGCGAACGGCAACAATTAAAGACGCGTTTACATAACTTATATAAGTAATGCTTTCGAATGAGAACGCTTTATCATAATCCCTAATTATCTTTACATCATGATTATCTCCTGCGTTGAGACGTTTCACAAACAGCCATTGTTCTTTAGAGAGCACATTTGTGTGTGCAAGTTGTTCAAATAGATTTGCGCGTTATGAGGGCAATAGCCCCGCTGAAGGATAATGCAGCGTAATAATTAAATTGCATATTTACTTGAGGAGGTGGCGAGTCAACATGTGTCACCTGAAATGGTTGTATTATCATTTTTGTTTTGTGTGGATGGGGCTGGGTAGGAAGTCCCAATGACCACTGCGACCCAGAAAGATCTATTGTGGTCTTCTCTTCGTAATCATTCTGTCATTCTGTATGAGAAAATTATCCCGCTTTGTAAGGACGTTTGTACATACTTAAATCGCATGTGGACAAACGGCCAGACCCGAAACACCTGTGTTGGGCACACAAATAGTTTTCCCTTGAGGGAATCGAAGGAATTGACGTGTATTAGGTAGTTTCATGAAGATTTAAAAACCCTGAAACATTATTTTTGTTAGTTATCACAAACTTTAAAACATGTTAAATTACTTGGGGGGGAAGGGGGGGGGGGGGGGGCAGGAAGGCCGTCATTGCCGAATTTGACACAAAACGTAACACAGAGACCATCAGACCAGGGTAGGGTCCCTGTCCGAACCGAAACCTCGATGGCCCTTAAATGACATACCATTTAGTTAATACTTAATAATTCTCCCGGTTGGGCCGAGTTTATTTAAACAAGCAGACTACACCGAGAGTTAAGTTTTATGATCATCCAATCCTTCGTGACCGACTTATATGTGTTTAAAACAATTTTACGGACCTAATACTATATTTAGTCTGTAAGTCTTTCCTGTTACCGTGGTTGAGAAGTCGGGAATTTTCTTAATAAATTAAAAGCAATAAAAATGACAATAACACTTGTTTAATGTCTGTTTTTCATATACGTTATTAATTTGTATTTTCATTTTATTACGCGTTAAGATTAGAGTTACTTCCGAGGGTTGTAGATTGTTTAACTTTTATGGTAAGTAATAAATCAAAATGGCGCCTCGTGATTTCGCGGCCTAATTGTCAGTCGTAAAAACGTCTGTTTGTAAAACTAGATATCTTAACATTTCGTTAATGTCCGTAATATATGTTACGTTTTAGTTAATTACCTAATCGTTTTTTTTTTTTATATTAAGAACGTTGTTAAAACATAACGTATTGTATTGAAAATTTGCATATTATATATCGCATGTAAATAAGACATCGCCCCAATAGGTTTAAAAGTATTGACTCAATTGTAAAACGGCTTCTTCTTATTTCTTTATTAAATGGCTTCTCTTACGTTTATAATTAAACATCAAATAAAATTTTGAGACAAATTGATATTTCCAACGTGAAGATTATAAAACGGCTATAACAAAATGTCATAGGTTTAAAACATACGTCAGCAGTCTTTAAACTATCAATTTATAAAAATCTACTCGTATATTCCGTGTGTTTATTTCAAGTGCACTTCGAGATACCTTGTCGCCTTAAAGGCCCTTGTATTAATCTCGATTACGTCGTTTTTGTATGCATTTAAGTAATTACCTATTGAAATGAAAAAAAAAACTCGAATTGCTTAGTTTTGTTATCATGATATGCTAATAATAATGCGGCATATTATAACAATGATATTTAATAAACCAAAAATTATTAAATATTAGGTTGGGGAAAAACTCTTTTCGCAAATAGTATGTATGTACTTATAATATAATCTCTTTGGCTATAACATTTGTATCTGGCTGGTTTTGGTATCATTAAAAAGTTTAAATTTTAAAAAAGATAATTCCAAAATTCAAATTAGGGAAATGTGTGTTTTGAAATTTCGTATAAAATGCGAAGAAACTTTTTACCCAACCTATTTCATTATAAATTAAACTATCGTATCAAAATCCGTTGCGTAGTTTTAAAGATCTAAGCATACATAGGGACAGACAGAGAGCGGGACGACTTTGTTTGCAGAGATTGGACGCAAAATTAATAATTTAAAAACTGACGATAGCTCTGGTTAGCTATGACATTCAGACGTCCAACGCCTCAGTCTGTCCCGTGACCATGAAAAATGTAAAGGGTTCGAAACGTCGGGAATTAAAAACACATAGTGCAAAACAAAGTAGTCCTGCTGTCTGTCTGTCCCTTTGTATGTTTAGATCATTAAAAATACGCAACGGATCTTGATGTGGTTTCTTTTACTAGATAGAGTGATTCAAGAGGAAGGTTTATATGTATAATACATTGCACCCGTGCGAAACCAGGGTGGGTCGCTAGTTAAAAATAAACGCAATAATCGCGTAAATGCAAGAAATTATCATACTATGTCAATTTTGTACAGTTGTGCTAAACTATTGGCTTCATCCTCGAGTGTCGTAACCCACAGACAATATCCAGATCTGGGTGATTGTTTCAAAGGTTTGATAGGTTAGGGAGAAAGATGTTTAATACTCGGAGCCAGCTTGTCGAGGGCGCGTTCGGCTCTCCACGACGCATGCTGATGACGACCTTTGCCCCCAGTCCCTGGTGATAAGCGGCCTGGTGATATGCAGCATCACGAACGGCTTTATCTTCGGCCAGATGTCCGGCATGCTGGCCGACCTGCACATAAACAAGAACAGTACTGGCATCACGGATGACGAGATCTCATGGATAGGTACGCCGATGCTAGTTCTATTGGACAGACTGGTGATTATGTGCATCATTTTTTTAAAAATAAAAAAAAAATTAAGTTAAAACGTATACAAAAGTTATATGGAAAAGTTATATGGTTGTCTCGTTTACCCCGTATTTCTAATCGCATGTTTAATAGCTTGTGCTGAAACTTTTCGAAAACTATTCGCGTCATAACAACGAGGACTTTCACGGTGGTAGGGTGGAACGGGCAGGCCACACAGAAGATCAGCGTAAAGTGGTAGCATAATATTTTCGCGTTTCGTTTGGTGAGTGAGGGGGTCGCAGCCGAATTTTCAAAAGGCTTTCAACGCATCTGGAGCCCTCGGGTGTAGCAGATGTCCATGGGCGGTGGTATTCACTTAACATCAGGTGAACCGTCTGTGCGCTTAGCAATTTTTCACATAAAAAGAAAACAACGAAGAGTTAAAAGTTTTTCATTAATCGCTTCTAGAACCGACATCACTAAGAGTGTTATAAGTGTCTGTATTTTGTGTTGAAGGGGTTAGTAAGTTCCAACTACCACTACGCCCTGAAAAATCTATTGTAACATTCGAAAACATTGCCCCCTTATTATCGAGATTGTGTTGAAAGGTCGTTTTACATACGTAAATTTCGCGTGGATAAACACCCAGATCCATACCTCCAACGCCGAAGCCGATACCTAGGTTCTGCGCCACGGAGTCATCTAAGAGTGTTATTCCTACTTCTTCTTCCAGCTTCATCCATCAACGTCACCAGCGTCTGCGGTTTCGCCTTTGCCGCCTGCTTGACCGAGAAGGTTGGCAGACGCAGGGCCTTCACCGGCCTCGCCCTGCCGATAGTGGCAAACTGGATTCTGCTGTACTACGCCGACGGGTTCCCCCTCCTAATGATCTCCAGGATCATAGTCGGCGTGTGCTTCGGCGGGGTGCTGCTCATGAACATAATATCCACCGGCGAATACACTTCACCGAACAACAGAGCGTTCTATCTGAACATGATCACATCCGTCGGGCCTGCGGTGGGAACCGCCTTGGGGCACGTGTTCGGCCTCCTCTACCATTGGAGAATAGTCTCTCTGATCGGTATAATTCCAACTGCTTTAGGGGCGCTATTGCCTTGCTTCTGGGTTGAGAGCCCCTCGTGGCTCGCGTCCAAGGGAAAGTTCGAGGAGTGCGACAAGGCGTTCAGGTCGCTCCACGGCCACCGTCCAGGCGCCGAGGTGGAGCTGCAGCTTCTAACCGAGCTGGAGAAGTGCAAGCTCAGGAAGATGAAGGAGATTGACTCCAACACGGGCGTGAACAAGCTGCTGACTGCGGCGAAGAGAAAATACTTCTGGCACCTCCTTCTACTGAGCTGCGTCATCAACGTTTACGTCGTGGCGGCCGGGAAACTTCTCTTCAGCACGTTGGCAATAACGATGCTCCAAGAAATAACCGGCAGCCCTGATATTCTGCTCTTCACTCTGATAGTAGACGGCTTTTCAATTCTGGGATCTTGTCTTTCGTGTGTACTGATAAAAAGGGTCAGCATGAGGGGCCTCCTGTTCTCCACCGGGATAGTGGCAAATATCCTGCTGATAATTTTGAGCGCCTGTTTGTACTTTAAGCCGGAGAAGGATTTATACTTCCCCTGGATAAATTCTATCCTTCTCGGTTTGTACTTCATCGTGGTGAACGCCGGCCCGTACCCGGTGTTGGAAGCGCTGATGGGCGAGATATTCCCCTTGGAGCTAAAAGCCTACTGCTTTTTCCTCTCCGGCATCGTTCTGGGTCTCCTTCTGTTCCTCAGCCTCAAGACCGCGTCGTTCCTCTTCGCCACGATAGGCTACCACGGCGTGTTCCTGCTGAACACTGGTGTCATGTCCATCTGCCTGCTCTACGTCTGGATCAGGCTGCCGGAGACCAAAGGCAGGACCATGCAGGAAATAGAGATGTACTTCAAGAACAACAAGTTCGACAAAGTGGAGGACCTAATAAACGGTGAACAAATCAAAATACTGATATAGTGGACGATGCGCGTCACTGTGTAAGGCTTTAGCGGATGTCGGACATTCGCGAAAGTCCTCAGGGCACTTGGTAGTAGAGACAGCTGTCATGGGATGTTTGATAGAAGAAAATTGATTTAATATTCACTAAGTATCCTTGCGATCTCCGAACCAAAGCGGCATCTGTGACCAGAAACTAATCTGGAGCTGGTTTTATTTTTAAGATTTTGTTTAAGACCGAGAATTTGTTATCTTCGTATCTTTTAACGGCTAATATTCCGAGTAGTACGTCTCGTTTTTCAAGCTAGAAAAAAATTTTATTCTATAGAGGAATGTTAATAACTAAATATTATATAAGTTATAATCAATGAAAACCATTAGATTATAAGGAAAAAATTAACAAACTTTTTAAATTTCATACAACTGAAATCCGTCATTACTGTGCGTCCATTATTCATTATAGACTATTTTAAGTTAAAAACTTACGTTTTCACTTTTTACGTTACAAATACACAGATATATGACAAAAACACAAGTTTCTACTTCATGAACATGTATTATTAACAATTTCTAAAATTTAAAATTTGTGACTTAGTGTACACTTAATGTCTCGAATATTAGGTTCAAAATGAGTCACAGATCCGACACAGAGCGACCCGACTCGGTTAGGTTAGAAGGTTAAGGCGGGAGCGAAGCTCCCGTCTTAGCCTTCGTTGTTAGGTTCTTTTTTTATGACCACCCAGATAATATATAATAATAATATTAAAAAAAAATAGTATATTATTATTATATATTATCTGGGTGGTCAAAATGGTTCAAAATGAGTCACAGATCCGACACAGAGCGATCCGACTCGGATAGGTTAGGTTAGGTGTTTGCCTTGGTTTTCATGTATGTAATATTTAATTATTAACGTTTCCCTATCGATTAAAATTTTTTTCTAGCTTGAAAAACGAGACGTACTGTTCGGAATTTTTACCCTTTTAACGAGCATCTCATCTCTACTGTCTGGACCCTAATTAGGTAGATAGAGACTGCCAATTCTGGTATCATACAGCGAAACGTGATAACCTTAGTTCATTTAGGGGGTAACAGTATCTACTATATTAGTGCAATACATCTGTGATAGTGTTTTTGCAATTAAGTGATCCGAAAAAATGAAATCTGACGGATTTATTTAAGTTAATTTCGAAGGTTGTGAACCAAAAGCAATAATGATATTATGCCTCAGCGGATATTAGTTCTAGAGTCGAAGAAATTCTGTTTAAGGTTGAATTTCAATTGGTGTTCTTTTTATTTGGATGCCGCTGCACGATGATTTGATTTGCTGTACTATTGTATTAGGTTAAGTAACTGTTATGACGGTGTAAGTTATGTAAATAAATAAATAAAATATGTGAGGCTCGTGCCCTCTTAGAAGGTTTGAATCGCAACTTTCTGGCCCAGTTAATGTCGACATCCAAATGTGACGGTGATTATTTAAAATTGAATCACCTGCTTGACAAACAAAAACAATTTGGTGTTAGTGCAACTGTCGTAATGAATGTATGACCAATCAGCGGGTAAACACAGACACTATCTTAGCATTGTTCTGCGAGATGTTTGCACTGTCGCTGCTAAATGGTTAATTATTAAATATTGTGAATAACATTCGATGTAAACTTATAACTTGACTTTGAGGAGGTTGGACTTTTTTATAGTTCCTTTGATTTGATGCACTTTTAATAGTGTTTCCCGTTAAAGTCATAGACAATCTTATGTTGCAACGACCATTGAGAAGTTGCCAGATGTCCCGTGCTAATGTTGCGCGCGGTATCGTGATCTGTCACCGAACGATAATGTGGAAGTATTAAATTAATATAAAAATTATTAAATGTTTATGCATTAATATATTTTTAAGGTACTGAAAACTTAAGAGTTTGTTTCTTATTTAAAAATTCAAAACATTTGAAATGGAGATATTTCTAAAAATGTGACAATGGTCGATTTGATTTTTTTCATTCACAGTTCTATAGTGAGATACACATTTGCTTTTCAGTATCTCTTCAACAGATGCATAAATACATTTATTTTTAAATTTTATTTATTAAATTAAAATTTAATTTTTTAAATTTATTTATTAAAATATATTTGCATCCGAACAGATTATCAATAGATGGCACTTTTTATATTGTCTATTCTTTTAACCTTTTTTTTAATGAAGATATTAAAACTAAATATAAACTATTTGGTAAATTTTCAACATTCAAAATTTAGAGATAATTTGAAAGAATAATTAACTTTAAGAGTGATATGGTGTTTTGACAAAAATACCTTCGAGGAATAATTTATTATTCCATTATATTTCGAAAATATTACCTTGAAACGGGTTTAATAAGGTCGCCCGAACTTGTGGCGGATCAAAACAAGTAGTAGTTCGAGATAAATAATTTCAATTATTTATTGTAGTAATTATTTACTATAAGTCAAGTACTCTTAAGGATTGTTGAAAGACCTTTTCCAGTCGGAGGTCTAAATAATGTATGCGCATAATCGTATCGTTTCGCTATGTGGTTGTTGTTTTTTTTATAAATTCGAACCTGGTGTAAGGTTTTTTTTAACGCGCAAGGAATAATTACGTTCATTCCATATACAGAAAGGTATGCCAGACCGCTAAATACGGGAAAATTTTCTGATAAAATTCTAGAATCTAGGAAAGGAATAATACTACCCCTACGAAGTCTAAATAATGTATGCGCGTAATCGCATCGTTTCTCCATATGGTTGTAGTTTATTTTTTATAAATTCGACCCTGGTGTAAGGTTTTTTTTTAACGCACAAGTAATCATTATTGTTCATTCCATAAACAGAAAGGTATGCCAGACCGCTAAATATGGGAAAATTTTCTGATAAAAATGCCGTTCATTCCATATACAGAAAGGTATGCCAGACCGCTAAATACGGGAAAATTTTCTGATAAAATTGCAAACATTTGTCGCAAGCAAATAATTAGAAGTTTTATCTAGAATCTAGGAAAGGAATAATACTACCCCTACGAAGTCTAAATAATGTATGCGCGTAATCGCATCGTTTCTCCATATGGTTGTAGTTTGTATTTTTTATAAATTCGACCCTGGTGTAAGGTTTTTTTTAACGCACAAGTAATCATTATTGTTCATTCCATAAACAGAAAGGTATGCCAGACCGCTAAATATGGGAAAATTTTCTGATAAAAATGCAAACATTTGTCGCAAGCAAATAATTAGAAGTTTTATCTAGAATCTAGGAAAGGAATAATACTACCCCTACGAAGTCTAAATAATGTATGCGCGTAATCGCATCGTTTCTCCATATGGTTGTAGTTTATTTTTTATAAATTCGACCCTGGTGTAAGGTTTTTTTTAACGCACAAGTAATCATTATTGTTCATTCCATAAACAGAAAGGTATGCCAGACCGCTAAATATGGGAAAATTTTCTGATAAAAATGCAAACATTTTTTTCTTTTTTAGTTTTTAAATACATTGTCCTTACTTTAGGATAACATTATCCTGTATTATATGGACTTTTTACAAACATAAATTCCACGCGGACAAACACCCAGATGCGAAACTAATATCTGTGGGTCACACAAATAGTTGTCCCGAGTGGAATCGAACCCACGACCCCCGACGCCGAAGCCAATACCTTGGCTACTGCGCCACGGAGTCATCGTATTTGTCGCAAGCAAAATAATTTGGAGTTTTAATTGGAACCTAGCAAAGCAATAATACTACCCCTTAGAAATTTAGGAGATTAAAGAGATGCAAAGAGAATAATAAACGCTATACCCATGTTTAAAAAATAACGGTCCAAAATATTGATTGTGTAAACTTTATGATCGAATTAAGAGGAGATTTTATGGAAAACGTGCCAAGTGCTGTCACGTACAGTAACAGTACAGATGACAATTACCACGTCCTCCTCAACAATGTCATCTTTCGTGATGATTTACCCAAGAAAAAGTAATCAAAATCACAATAAAGTAACTATTAAAATTAATAAAACCTAGTTTGACAGTGTCAGCACTGTCAGCTAAACCAAAATGGCCGTTGCCCACTGTATAAAAATATGCATTGCACTGGAATAATTTTCTTTTTTTACCTATCTTTTACAATTATATATTATTCAAGGTCTGTTGTCGTTCACGAGTGCATTCATATTTATACATTAATTTGCATATTTATACGCGGATAAAAATAGTACTTACCTACTCCTTTTTCAAAAGTTCAGAATTTATATAGCAAAAATTTATAACAATATATTACCTATATCGTATAATCCTAAATAAATTTATGTATCTATAATATGAATATTAAATACTTACATTTAACGAAAATAAAATAAAACATTAATTGCTTAAGTTTTATCTTAACTGACAAACACGTAATGGTTTGTGGTCAGGTGCGCGAGAAAAATAGAAAAACAAAAATTTAAATGCATGTATTGAATTAATGGGTTTAACGAATTACGACCTAATCGGAATTGTACAATAAGTTTCATATTTCTTTGCCGTCTCGTTATTTGAATTCATTTCACAAAATATTCATAGATTAAAATAATTTAAATTACAAATTGACTAAGTGAGTTTGATTACGACCTTTGGGCGACCACTAGTACAGATTTAATTTCAAATGTGTTTTACTTTCCATTATCTGTAAAATTCAACTTTGGCTAAAACCTCGTTTTTAGGGTTTCGTAGTTAAGGGGTAAAACTGTCCTCTGTCTGACTCCGCTGTCTGTCTGTCAGTCTCTCTGTCTGGCCGTCTGTCACCAGGCTGTATCCCATGAAGCGTGATAGTTAGACAGTCGAATTTTCACAGATGATATATTTGTATAGCAGCTATAACAACAAATACTAAAAAAACAAAATAAAAAAATATCTAAGTGGGGCTCCCATACAACAGTCATGATTTTATTTTCCGTTTTCATAGATAACTAGCGATCCGCCCCGGCTTCTCACGGGTGCAATGTATTATACACTTGTGTGGTTTTTTTTAA